GAATAAATGAGGGAGAGAGTGAAGAAGAAGTATGAAGAACAGATGGGATTTTGTTCTAGAGGATAGGGTAGTGTCAGATATGCTCGCTGGGAAATTGGAAGAAGTATAATCAAAATGGTAATGACAGGAATGATAATCATAATCACTGACGTCATCATTTTCATTGTAACAGCTGTTATCACTGTCATCATCATGGTCACCATCACTATCACATTTATCACTCTTACCACTTTCATTCTCATCTTGTTATCACCAATATCTCCGTTCCTTATTATCATTATCATTGCTCTCATTATCCTTATCACCGTACTTATCATCGCTGTCCTCCGTACCATAATTATCACCCCCATCCTGCCCACCATAACCATTACCCTTGCCCACACCATCCTTCCATCCTCTCCCACCCGCAGTTAACACCCCCATCCTCCCCGCCATAATCACCCCCCCCCACCCTCCCATCCTCTCCACCCCCCCCCCAACCCTCCCATCCTCCCCACCCTAGCTATCACCACCTATCCTCCCCGCCACTCTTACCTTTCTAATCCCCCTTCCCTCTCCTCTCCTCCCCTCCCCCCCTAGCCTTCGCAGACCGCCGCCCTCCCCGTCATGGTGTGGTTCCACGGAGGCGGCTTCAGGTCAGGGAGCGGCGCCCCCTACCCCCGCCTGGCCGACGAGGGCGCGGTGGTCGTCGTGGCTGCGCAGTACCGCCTCGGACTCCTGGGTGAGGAGGAGGGGGGAGGGGGAGGGGGAAGGGGAGTGGGAGAGAGAAATTGATAGATAGATAGATAGATAGAGAGAGAGAAAGTCAGAGTGAAAGAGAGTCAGAGAAAAAATATAAACAAATAAAAACGTGTCTCTATCCTTAAACGTGTTCCAATCGTGTATGCTTTGAATCCGCTCTCTTTGATTCAGGATTCTTGTCGACGGAGGACGAGGTACTCCCAGGCAACCTAGGATTGAAGGACCAGGCGATGGCCCTCGGCTGGGTCAAGGAAAACATCCGTGACCTCGGCGGCGACCCACACAAGGTCACCATCTTCGGCGAGTCAGCGGGGGGGGCGTCGGTGCACTTCCACATCCTGTCTCCTATGTCGGAAGGTCGGCCGTCTTGTGTGTGTGTGTTTTTTTAAATTTATTTGCTGGATTTATTTTACTTTTTTCAATTTTCTTTTAGCTAGCTCTCTCTCTCCTCCCTCCTTCTCTCTTTCTCTCTCTCTCTCTCTCTCTCTCTCTCTCTCTCTCTCTCTCTCTCTCTCTCTCTTTCTCTCTCTTTCTCCCATTTTATCACTTCTGTTTTCTCTCTTCCTCTTTTTCTCTCCCCCTTCTCTCTTATTTTCCTATTCCATTCATTCTCCTGTTTTCCCTCTCCCTCTTCATCTTCTCTCTCTCCTTTCGCCCTCCTCCCAATCTCTTCACTTTCCTCCCCCCTCCCCTCTCCCTCTTCATCCTCCCTTCCCCCTCCTCCCAATCTCTTCACTTTCTTCCCTCCTCCCCTCTCCCCAGGCCTCTTCGCGCGGGCCATCATGCAGTCTGGCTCGGCCCTGTGTCCTTGGGCCCTGGCCACCAACCACGCTAAGATGGCCATCGAGGTCCTGCAGAGACTGAACTGCTCCGACACGTCCTTCCCGCCCCTGGACAGCCAAGGACTCCTCGCGTGCCTGCAGGAGACTCCCGCCCACGTCCTGTTGGAGCTGCCAAGTGCGGTGAGTCTGCTCTTCGTTGTTTTTTTCATGATCTCTCTCTCTGTCCCTTTTTCTCTCTCTGTCTCTCTCTCTCTCTCTCTCTCTCTCTCTCTCTCTCTCTCTCTCTCCACTCAACTAACACCGCCATAAACGCCCACGCCCTAACGCCTATCACCCTCTATAACCCAAGGCCATAAATAGCGCCTCATTCCGTTCCGCAGGAGCTGAAAATCTCCGAGTTCGCGCCGCGGGTCGACGGGGCGTTCCTTCCGGCCCACCCGGCGACGCTGCTGCAGGAGGGGAGATTCAACGCCGTCGACATCCTCTCGGGCACGACGCAGCACGAAGGCGCCTCCTTCGTGGACTGTCGGTGGAGCAAAGGCCTCGTCCCGAGCTGTTGAACCTTGTTGTCTGTTTGTCTGGCTGGCTGGCTGAACTTTTGGATGTGTTTGAATGTCTGTTTGTCTGGGTGTGGGGTTTTCTGTCTCTCTTTCTGTCTGTTTGGATGCCTGGCTCGGCCTCTGTCTCTCTCTGTGTCTTATATTTTTCCAACTGTTTTATCATCTCTTTGTGTCTGTCTATCTGTTTCTCATTTTCCGTACTCTATTTCTGCCTTTTGTGTGTGTGTGTCTGTTTATTTTGTGTGTGTGTGTCTGCATGAATATACCCACAGCAGACGGAAAGACATATAAATGAAATTCCTGTATTAAAGCAAAACCAGCGCCTTCAAAGATCCCCCCCCCTCCCGCAGACTTCTTCTCGAGGGCCGAATTCCCGCGCTACGTCAACGACTACTTCACGACGGCCGCCCCGGAGAT